TTCAAAATTGTGCTAATATTTCAAAATTGAAATAATGGAAAGATGATTCTTCCTTAATAAAGTTAAATAAATTACGACAATATACAAATAATTAATAAATAAAAACTAGATAATAAAGGAAATGAAAGAGTGATTGCATATGCTAGTAGACAACTCAGACTGGCAGAGAAGAACTATGCAGCAACAGAATTAGAATGCCTCGGCATTATTTGGGCTATAAAACATTTTCATACATACCTTAATGGATCCAAGTTTAAATTAATTACAGATCATGCAGCATTAAAGTATTTGAACAATATGAAAGAACCAAAAGGAAAATAGCTCAATAGATTATGACATTACAATCCTATAATTTCAAAGTAGAACATATAGTGCAGGACATCTATAATGGTCAATGATTATCACATAATTTTAAAAGCTTATAACTCCTTATTAAAAAAATAAAAATAAAAAGTAAACCGATAAAATTAAAGCTAAAGACCTAAGCTTCATTTCCATCGGTTTACTTTTTTCATTTTATTAGAAAAGTCTTGGGTTATAAGGCTTCAAAAACATACAAATTTTATAATAAAATGAAAATTTCGGACATGATTTTCCTCAAAAATTTCTTTATTTGTTACTAGTGTACTCCAAAAGTCATGTGTTTTTGTTACACCAGAAATTTTTATTTTGAGGTGTATATATATATACCACACACACATACATAAAATCATTAAAAAAATTAAAAAAATTTCACCTCATATACTTTGAGAAAAATGCCAAGACCAACTAAAAGTAAGTCTAGTTACAAAAACCAAATAAGAAATCCTGATGGAACTTTTTATAGTAGAAAATTAAATAAAGGAAAGGAAATAGGTAATGATTTTTCATGAAAACTCTTGGAATTGGTGAATAAAGAAACTCTTAAATTGAATATCTAAAGATTATTTTTCAGAAAGCACCCTTGGGAATGTGGCTGAATTGGACAATGATAATTTCTTGGGAGAAGTTCTTGAAAATGAAGTTGAATTGGGTGAAGACAATTTTTCAGAAGTTCTTGAAAATGAAGTTGAATGGGGAGATGATGATGATAGTGGTTGGGAAGAGGATATAGAACAAGAAAGAAAATTTTTCAAAAAAATAATTGAAAAGCCAATAGAGTTAAAATGGACTGATGATGCACT